TCTGTCTTCTCTCCTCTCTTTCACCTCTTCCCTTTCTCTCCTTTCTCTATCCTCTGTCTCATCTCTCTCGTCTATTCTCTTTCTCTCTCTCCTCACTCTCCCTCTCTTCTCTCTCTCCTCCTTCCTCTCTCCCTCACTCTCCTCTCTCTTCTCCTTTCTCTCTCCTCTCTTTTTTGCCTCTCTTTCCCTCTCTTATCCCATCCTCTCTTTTTCTCTCTCTCTCCTCTCTTTTCTCTCACCACCTTTATCTCTCCTCCTCTCTCTCTCTCTCTCTCTCTCTCTCTCTCTCTCCTCCTTTCTCTTGCTCTCTCTTCTCTCTCTTTTCTCTCTTTCGCCTCCTTTCTTTCTCATCTCTGCTCTCTCCTCTCTTTTCTCTCCCTCCTCTCTCTTTCTCTCTCTTTTCTCTAACCTCCATTCTCTCTCTTCTCTTTTCTCTCCTCTCTCTCTCCCCCTTTCTCCTTCTCCCTCTCTTCCCGTCCTCTCTCTCTTCTCGTCCTCTCTCTCTCTCTCTCATCTTCTAGGTCATCACAGAGTCTATACAGAATGGTTTCCATTTGCCACTTACCATTCCCTGTAAGAAGTCAGAGATCTGCCAGCCACAGAGAGATCTCCATATATAATGTGTGGGTGCCACAGAGGACTCTCCAATCTCCTGATGATGTTCTCAGAATTCTCTTGTGACTGATTGTTATAAGCAGTAAAAATAAAACTGATCTCATTCTTCTATCATATTTTCTTAACTCTTAAGCCGGCCATACATTGGTAGATTATCATGTGAACGCTCATTAAAAAATCTGGTCAGAAAATTGTGTAATGTCACCAGAGACTTGACAAATTTCCTTCCAAATTTTGTTTGATTTTGACATTCAATTTTGGAATGAATGGAGTTTCCAGAACTATCATTTTCTATGTGTCCCGTGTACAGCACAATGCTGGCGTGATCTGCGTTGTGCTGTGAAAATGGCATATATGTAAACATTTTTCGGAGCACACTGGAATGTACCGCGTATGGAGACCTGAGTAGAGTGTACTCTTTGTGCACTTCAAATAAAGTTTCAATTTTTTTGGAAAAAAATGCCTTCTTAAAGATTCCCCCCCCTCCCCCCCCAATAAAATAGTGATCCACATTGGATCTCACTCACTTGCTGACTGGAAGTCAATGGAGCCAGCACGCCAAGATGGCCCGCGGTAACCCCCTGTGAACTGGCCAGTGGTCCAAAAGTCAATTTTCATCGTTTATTAAAGCTGAACTCTGGGATTAGCAAATATTGTCCTCATACCAGAGTCCTGTGTATTCTTCTTGAATCTTGACATGCTTTGTGTATTTCCTCCAGGTCTGTGCAGTCATCCAGTGAGAGACTTGGAGCTTCCTGTAATAAAGACCGGTCAACTGCTGCTCTCTCCTTGTG